AGATCGGATATAAACGAGTGTACTGCCAGCCTCACTTCGTGTATCAACGCCGTCACTACGCACGAGCTTGCTGTAATCATTTACTGTGGCCACGCCACTGGGCACTTGGTTACTTAGCAAACGCATGTTACTACAATTATTACTGCTCCTAAAAATGCTAGCCTGCTTCGTAAAAAATTCGAATATGTGCTATCTCATTCATGCTTTGCCCTTCTGCCAAAACTGACTTTTTATATATAGACTACAGAAGATAACCTATATCTCATGCACATTGTGAAAGTTGCACAAAAAGGTTTAGGAGACAATTATAAAACTAAAACTCAATGCAAATGAAACCATATGGTTACGATTTCACCTCAATATACACCCACCGATTGCACTGCTTAAACGAATAAATGCAATCCTTATTCAAATCAGGCCTTGAAAAAAAGAAAACCGAATTGAGACCAACGAAAAAAAAAATCTACAAGTCGCCGTACCTTTGGCATCTCTCAACACATAACAACAATTAAGATAAAACGTGCACTTCGTTTGACACACGCAGGGTCGACAGAATGAATAACATAGAAGAAAAAAGTGCACTTCATGCCATGTCAAGAAACAGTTACATAATACAGTATCCACGTCAGAGTTCAAAGCTTGACAAAACACATGGCATACATTCTATTGTTATTTTTTCAAGCAGCACACACCTTTAAAAAAATTAAAATGGTTCAGTCACAGCACTACAATATCTTCTACAACATAAACAGGCAGTTAGCAATTTGGTCCTTCTATTAAGGGCCTCTAAATCACCTATCTATTTTGGCAATTAAGTTCAAACTGCAGTAACAATCAACAATTAGCAAAGTGGCGACACCACACATCGAAAGGGTACCACGATAAAAAGGAATCTCGTGCTTCTCTTGCAGCCTTTACGGCGCGCCTAACGCTGGCCGTGTCACCACCTGTCGTTATAATGTGAACATCTCTGGGGGGAACTGTATTGGGTGACGAAACTGTACACATGGAATTCCCCTACTGCCGTTCCTTTGCAAAAAAAAAAAAAAATGCTCGCAACATGTTCTTCGTAGCCATGTGCACTATTGAAACTAGACAACTATATTCCAACATCTGGGTGCTTAGGGCCCCTTCATGGTTTACTTCCAGGCCCTGCTTAGCATAAGCTATTAAGGTTTCTTTCTTGCTATCGTCCATGAACTACACATACATGAGGCTCAAGTTTAATAACGTATGGGGTTTCATGTCCCAAAACAGCGACAAGATTAAGAGACACTGTAGACACTGTGGGCTCTAGAAATTTTGACCATCTGGTGTTCTGTAACGTGCACTAACATTGCACAGTACATTGGCCTCTACAATTTCACCTCCATCAAACACATATCAAACACCACGACCTTCGAGTCAGTAGCCAAGCCCCTGGCCACTGATCCACCAAGGCGGACATGCTCGTGCTTAGAGACCACTTTATTAATTCATATGTGGGGTTTAACGTCCCAAAACCACCATTAGATTATGAGAGACATTGTAATGAGGGCTCCTGAAATTTTGACACCTGGGTTTCTTTAACGTGCAATCAAATTCTAGCACACTGGCCTAAAGCATTTTGGCCTCCATAGAAAATGCAGTCGCCACAGCCAGGATTCGATCCCGCAACCCTGGGGTCAGCAGAGAGTACCTTAGCCACTAGACCACCACGGCGGGGCTTAGGGCCTATTTCAACTTGCTTAGTGCCGTTTATATGCACGTTAAGTTTCTCACCGCCCCTTCCTACACAAATGGAACTGCTATAGCACCAGTTCCATTAAAGAGAGGACATGTCATGTGCTTAGTGCTGGTTTTACCTTCAGTGAATGCTACAGTGAATGAAGCGTTACAGCGTCCATCGCAGTTTGCCTCCTATGTTGGCACGGAACCATCAGGCCTTGCTTATATTTACAAGGGATCACGTGTATGCACTTCGCGAATCCTTTCCAAGATGCCATTTACATGCAACTATACACGCCTGCACGTTTTTATTTACACAACAAGACTTTCGTCACACACTTTGTAAATCTAGCCCGTTCAGCGAATTTCAAATTCTTAAGGCCTTGCAACTTCCTAGTGTAGCAGCTACACAACACAAGTTCCTTATCCAGAAGCTTTCTCAAAATGAAGATATGCAGTCTGTAAACACACCTCAAGCAGAGGCAGGTCTCTTTTAATTTCGACATTCAGGGCTTTTTAGGGGCGAAGCACATTGACACTTCACTGTGTTCTTCTCGGGGCAATCCATGCCTTGTTACACACAGTCTGTCCGTGCATAGGTCTTTCATACTACATGGCAACTTCAATGTAGACATTACGAACCTTACGACCACTCTTGCCCACTCGTCATCATTCGCTGTGTGAAGATGCGTGGATTTTTTTAGGTGCAACGCTCCTTAGGGCTGCACCTGACCGTCGCCTTTGAAGCTCCCTATGCCGCGCAAGCACGCCGAGCCAAACAACAGATGCACACTCTTGGTGTAACGGGAGCACGCACTGCTGTTGGCATGCTATTAGCAAGCAGCATGCTATTGGTGAATGGTTGACATTGTTTGGCCAGATGAACTTCTTGCAACATGCTAGGATGCCGGCGTGGCGCTCTGTAGTCTGCCAAATTACAAAGTGAGCCACACTCGCACAGAGGGATCTCAATGGGAGAGAAAGATTGCGTTTCATTACGCACACTTAAATTTTGCAGCAACGATTTGTTTACGGAACAGTGATGCTGAGGTCACTCGACGATTATTTCGAAAAGTGTTTCATGACCCCTTCAAGACGCTATAAAGAGCCAGTGTTCCATGAACTGCACGTCAATACCTTGTGCAGAGACTGAAAGAGTAAGTGCAATGCAGTTTTAAACCAATCAATACCGGCAGTTTATTTTGTGAAGCATAGCTGCCATAGCTTTCACAGATCTGCCAGTTTTGCATTTTCTCCAAAATTTTATCTTTGGCGCTACACAGACGCTACCATGGCACACATGCAGAAGGCAACCATTGAAGCACAAAACAACAGCCATTCACTTTACTTTTAAAAACAGAAAAAAACAATTTCACCGAGTGCCCATAAAAATTCCTCTATAACATTGGGTACACATAAATTTGTACAGTCAATATGAAGGTGGTGAATGCGACAGCTTTTTGAACAAGTAACAATTTCAATTTCGTTGCTTCGCTCGTCCAGTGATGATGTTTACTCACAACAAAAGAACTGCGCAAGACTCGTATAAAATTACTATTACAATGCAAAATAAATGAAGTGCAGTAAACCTACCTTACAGTCTCTCAAATACAAACAGATGCAAAGAAAAGCTGCTACCTACACCCCATAACAGACCTTAGACAGGTGTCTTAAAACCAGCCCTGTACAAATTTTCACAGACAAGCAGAAAGCACAAACTGCCCACAACGGTCATCAGACATTGTAAGGTCTCGTTGGCAAGCGACAGTCTACACAACACTGCAGGCAAGTTAACAAGTGTCACGCAATACTACTACAGCGTATCATCGCACCTCAGCACTGCAATAACCACACTGCATTAGCGCAGTCACACATTAAAGCTGTCGAACTTTTTTACTAAACCGGCTCACACATAAAACTAAAACTATGATGAAAAAATGAGGGGCAGGTATTTGCACTGCTTTCCGTTCAGCAAAACCTTGATAAACGAAGTTGTGTCAGACACTAAAATACAGTCACATATACTAGTACTATATTCGTCATAAGCATACATTGTCAACGTGCTGATATCACCGAGAAATATTTACAGTTTTGTGCTTCACTATATCAGCATATACTGCGGTTCGACGTTTCTTGAAGCACAGGAAGGCCATAGATGTTGTCCACCAACAGTAAAGGCAACTGTCATTGAGAATGCGGTCATTTGAACTCATCACATGCTGGATATCTGCCTACTGCCAAGTGCTAGCAGTTCTTTTCTTCAGTGGAATTCACATAAAACATGCCGCACTGTACGAAGGTGAGCCATAAATACGCTTTTTGGTTCTAGAACCACCAGAGCGCTCTCTGAATGACAGAAGTTTCTGGTCTGGTCAGGTCACTTGACCAAACAGTGGCAAACAAGTATATGCTAACATTTCCAAGCGTTGCAGTCTTCTGCTGATGGAACTTGTAGTCTCTTTAGTTGCGCATTCATACAGAGATTATACACTGATGAGAAGACTTGCTTTGAGCAATGCCCAGTGATAGCGCACCCTATTCTAAGACCCACTGTAAACGAACTGTTGCTTAACCGAAAAAAAGACATTGCTGTCCCATTCGAGAGTTGTATTTTTCTTCCGAGTTGTACAGCTTCTTACATCCTGAATAAAAATAAGCGATGTCTAGTTTGTTAACAAGAAACATATAAAACTACTTTCACTGTGTTTTGCACCTCTGTATATACACAAGAGTCGTTGAGATGTTACTCAACATTCCTATGCAAGTCAATGTGTTGTATCGTGGCTGTATATATGAGCAAACGGTGTTTAGTTGCAAGCACACCATGCACCACATAACCACAGTCTCAGAGATCTCACTGCATTGACACTGCTGCAGGCACTGTATCGAAGCACTAGACAAACAACCCATGTCATACTCGTGGGACATGTTCCAGAGACGTTAAGCGGCAAAAATCCTTTCACAGACCCCTCACTATGCCTTAAAAAAAAAACTTGAGCACAAAGACAAGAGCACTGATGAAAACACCAGTAACCGTTCAGTTCGTTAGTCCCATGATCAATGCCTGCCCAGCCTAAAATTGGAAATGCATGAGCCAATGTGCTATGTCCTTTCGTGCTAGGCATGAGCATGGTTCTCCGAAGCTGCAAAGGCAGCAAGGAAAGTTGCAAACACTTAAACACTCGCCGTCTATACTCTGTGCATCATTGCTGCCTTGACAGTCCCATCGTTGATGACACAAGCATAGAAAACGCAGAGTTTCGTAGCCGTCTCTGAGCAAGCGGCAAGCCCTCCTAGCGGCAACCAAGGAGGTCCATAGCTGCCGTCTTCAACATGAACATGGGTGAGCACGGGCAAAGGTCCAGGGTTCCCACAAATCTGCTGCACGAAGGGCTGCGACAGGCCGCAGTCTTGAGTGCCTCAGTCGCAAAGGCGGCAGGTGCAGCCTGCGGCTGAGGGCTGGAAGGCATTGAAGGCCGCCGTGGGAGTGTCGGCGATGCCACGAATGAGAAGGCGCCCTTATCCTGCTTCCAAACAGGGTACACAGGCCATGCAGTGCGCTCGGAAGGATGGTCCGCTCTCTCCACCATGTGCATGTCCGTGTGTTTTGCTTGACCCAGCTTGCCGCACCTAAGGATGAGGGAGACTGCGCATTAGAGGGTGCTCTTTTTTTCTAGGGAGTTTCAAGCAGTGCTGATTTAGTCAAGAGTTCTAACAAATAACATCTGGGGTTTTACATGCCAAAACGCTCAATATAATTATTAGGCAAGCGTAATGAAGGGCTCCAAAAATTTCAACCATCTGGTGTTCTATAATAAACATAGCATCGCATCAATGTCTCTGTAAACACTGGCATCGCATCAATGTCCTGAGGCTTGCTGCAATCGCTACCCAGGACTCCTGGTTACTTCCGAATGGAATGTATGTTTTACCAAAACTATGTCAACAAAGTACATATCATCTAGATGACCTTGCACGTCAACTTAAATGCAGCATCCACCTACATCTCAAATCTGTGTATTGTGTGCCACAGACATGTTCCTCGTTCGGGAGCACGTCTCACAAGATCGAGCCCTGTTTCGACAAACGTCTCCCCCCTCCCAGCGCGCCTTCGTGCAGAAGAATACGGCAGTTCCGGGATAACGTCGCTTCCTCCGCCGAACCACTTTGCAGTTCCGGGTATGGCTACGTCTCCCCCTCCGAGCCCGAGAACTGGTCTGAGAGAATGGACCAAAGACGCTATTTAAGGCCGAGCCGGCCCATGTTAGAAGATTTTGCCCCAGCCGACGTTGTCGTGCTGGCCGGCTCTGTACAAACGACACCTGCTACAGTAAACACTATTTGTTGCTGTTTTCAAAACGGATTGCCTCCCTGTTTCGCCTTCGGGCTAAGGTTCAGGAAGTCCGCTCGACGGCTCGCCGCTCTTCGCCACCGCAACCATCGCGACAAGCAAAATTCATAACAGTATATGGCTTATCAAATTTCTTTCGACCCTGCATGACATTCCCTGTATTGGCGACATTGTTCACCATAATACAGCTCAAGTTATTTTTGTGTAGTGTCTTAAAGCTCCTTATGACCGAAATACTGTTAAAGCAGAAAAATTGCTGTTAGCAGTTTTCCACCAAGCGGGATGTATGAGCGTAAAATCATTTACTGCATAAATGACTTCAGCATCTTATACAAATGAAGAGAGTAGCCAGGTTCTCACATTTCTTGACGGAAGGGGCACTGAATTGACACAAACGAAGGCATCGATGTAATGAAGTGGCTAACATGATTAGCAGAAATCTATACACTCTATGCGCATTGTAACAGATCCACATACAACAGGCTTTCGGATGCAACTGACTATCATTTGCCTAGGTTTAGCCTTTGTACCAAATTAATGGACAGAGGGTAGCTTTTAACAGACTGGGTTACTATGAACCATCGGCAAGAGTGAAAAAATTAGTACAATTTTCCCCCAAATTTGGCGCAATAAAGAGTACTCTTGTCATTTGGCACGGGCTGAGAACAGACCTCACCACACCACTCTCTGCACACAAAAACCACGGTAATTTAGAAGGCTAGCTTTTAACAGACTGGTTACTAGGAACTATCCGCAAGAGTGAAAAAATTAGAACCATCTTTTTTTTTCAAAGTGGGCGCATAAAAGAGCACTTTTCCCATGTTGGCACGTGCTAACAGACTGACCACACCCCTCTCTGCACACAGAACCCACAGTAATTTAGAGTTTTAATAATAATGTGGGGTTTAAGTTCCCAAATCACCATGATTATGAGGGACCGTAGTAGAGGGCTCCAGAAATTTCGACCACTGAGGTTCTTTAATGTGCACCCAAATCTGAGCACATGGGCCCACACCATTTTGCCTCCATCGAAAATTCAGCCACCTCAGTGGGATAAGATCACACGACCCAGCAGGCAGCAACGAAGTACCCCAGCCACTAGACCATTGTGGCGAAACAGTAATTTAATTGATATGTGGGTTTAACGTCCCAAAACCACTATACGATTATGAGAGACGCCGAGTGAAGGGCTCAGGAAATTTCGACCACCTGGGTTCTTAACGTGCACCCAAACCTGAGCACACGGCCTACACATTTTCGCCTCCATCGGAAATGCAGCCGCCGCAGCCGGGATTCGAACCCGTGACCAGCAGCCGAGTACCTTAGCCACTAGATCACCGCGCGGGCGAGGCAGTAATTTAGAATTTTGGCTCGCAACAATGTGGCTTCCAGCCAAGCTATGCCTTCAGCCAGGCCCGTCTGAAGGCACGTGTTCACGCCCATGTTTCAAGTGTTGCAGCTGACTGCAATGCAGCTGCCAAGTGATTGCCTCGTCACTCAAGTGTGCTCCCCATTCCCTTATTACAAATGTCTGTTCGAGCTAAGCGTAAATAAAAACATTTTGCCTGCTAATGCTTAGAACGTTTGTCACTCATTGCATTGATGTTAGACAACCCGACCGAAGTTTTCAACTAAGACGCTCTGGTACTACGAGGGGTGGCTTGGCCCTGCTTATCTATTGTAAAGAAATTGTTGCTGGGCTAGTTAAACCTAGTTTGCGCCCAAACACGCGACACATTCATGAACATACACACACCTAGGCATTGCTGAAGGGGCGCTGTGCATGCTTTGATGCCGGGTGTGTGTGCATGTGAATGTGGTGTTCGCGCAAACTAGTTTTTTTAAATGGCCCTGGTTAGTTCAGTACTCTCAGACCAACTTTGGACTGTCCAGCGAGCTGTTGACACTATGCAGGAGCAACATTCTCAGAGGCACGGGAAGGCAAGCAAATAAGCCTTCCCATACACACAAGAGATAATTTAATCTAAGCCGATCAACAGAAGGGGCTACAAAGCCTGCTGAATAATTTATTAACGGGCTAAGCTTTGCTGCTGTGAAGGGTCGCGTGCATCCCCGCGCCTAGTGTAACAGCACTTGCTTATTAATTAGAACTTAGCTGCAATTTTTCTAATAACGCTGGTGAGTTAAGTCTTTCGTAAACATGCCATGGAATACATTCAGCGCATATCGCCAGAACCAGCCTGCTCCATACCACTGCGCAGAATTGAAACTATCCCATACAGCAAAGCACCCCCCTCCCTTCGGAGTTTGACTATTATGGACTTCGGGAAAACTGACAGTTTTGTTTAATTATCCCGGTTCTTGTAACGAGAGTAAACTATCACAAAACATTTCAGTTTTATAACATGGTTCCTGGACAACATTCATTTTTCACCTCAATATAAAGAAGTATGTTCACCCGCGATTTCAATAAAATGGAATTTCGCTGCTGCCTAGGAAGATCCAAGGCAATGAAGTGAAACTTCTGATAGTGCTAGGGTCATGTGCCACGTGCCAAATCATGTGCCATGCGACACTGAGGTCACAACTGGAACACTGTAGTCTGTGATCTATACCTCGAAAAAAGCTATTCAGTATTAGTGAGGAATAAATTTTCAGTCAATGGGATTCAAACTTATACACGCATACTGTATAAGTTTGTCCCTCACACACAGTGAAGGATAATCGACCATATTGGGGGGGGAGGCCACTTGCTCACTCAGTTTTGGACCAGTCATTGGTGCTTGTTTGGCGCTTATTTAAGATCTCCTGAAAAAGCACGGGAGTGCTTGCTCGGGGGAGGTGCTTGCTCGACATTTTACGGCAGTGCAAATGGAATTTATTTCGGTAAGGACACGACTGCAACAAGTTGCAAGCAAATTTCCTCGAGCAACTCTGAGTTACCAAGCACACTGCTATCAAGTCTATAAATTTATGTGTGTCTGTTCTGTGACAAAACCAACACAAAATAATTATTGAGCTAACGCATAGCTGCAACCAAAGTCTGCAATGCTAACAGCGACTCTTGGTGGATTCTTCCCTTGGTCCGTGTCACGGAACAAAAAACGAGGCCGCCATAAACAGACAATCTGCAATTCAGGTTATGTTGCTTTCACGTGGTTTGAGACATCACATACTTCACTTTTCTCTGCTTTTTTCCCTGTTTTGCATTCGACGCTTTTTTATGCTGAGCCTTTGCAACAGACTACATTCTCATGACGACCATTGCAGCAGCATAGGTGTCACAGCTGCGCCTATACTACTAGCGAGTGCATGCTTGACGACTTCGCTGAAATCAAATCTTGTTCACATGACCAGGTTCCACAAAAATGACATTTTTTTATGTTACTGGTCATATGTGCAGCAACAGAGTACGGTGCACCTACCATAGCACAACCACTACAATGAGACTTGGGAGTTTTGCCTGCATGCCACTTGCCTTTAGCGATCGCAAACTGGCTCCGTGAAAGGCCACAGGAGAGATGAGCGTTGGGGGTACACCGGCCAGGGGTCCCGTGGGACAGACACAGGTGCGGCTGTTGAGAAGAAGTTGAAGAGCGCCAGCGTCTCGCCTCGCTCGACAAACACCAGTGACCTAGGGCGACGATCATCCCTGGTCTCGTCCAGCCTAGTTGGCAGGTCGGGGTTAAGGAAAAGCTACGAGAAAGGTCAAAACACTGCCAAGCATCAAGCGTGTTTAATGTGATGCATAGTTAAATCTTCCCAGTGATCCAGTAAAAAAGAGAGTGCAAAACAGCCAACTACAGGAGCTTGCGTTCACTATCCATGCGAGTGCCCATAGCTTCCTCCAAATGGCACTTCCACAGCTGAAGCCACATTTCCATTACGTGAATGGCACTCTAAGCTAACAAAGCAGCCGTCTTTGCTTCGACTAGTGTAATTGCATAGGCATAGTGCTCACTGACTGAAAGACGATATTCAAGGGACCGACAACTGGCCAGAATGTCATTGGATCCCGAGAGAAATGAAAAGACCAGGAATTACAGTGACAAGATTCGAGTATCTTTATTACGATTGGAGTAGGATATGTTTTTTAAAATTGTGTTCAATAAAGCCTCCGGAAAATTATATGCCACATAGTTAAGCGGAAGAGCCCTGAAGCTGGATTATGGGGTTGTTCACTTTATTATATTGTATAATGCTTTAATTCACACATTATTAGTGCTTAAAATTAAAATATACTATTATCATCTATCCCCACAACATTGTGTTCTGTGTTGACAAAGCAAAAGAGTAGGACGCTGAAGGGCGGCACTGCTTTTGCAGCGATTACAAAATTGGCGCCTCAGTGCTGTCGACAGCTATTTCAGTGCTGTTTGCCTTTTAAGAAACTGAAGTATAGGCTTGCATTCCATACTTAGCGGGCAGGAATTCCGTTGCCTATACTCGCGCAAGGGCATTTTTGACGGGCCGTAACTGCAGTAAAATCAAATAAAGCAACATGTTTATTGATTGTGAGAGGTGATGTGCAGGAAAATAAGGGGGAAAGTATAAAAATACCACAAATGTTTTTTTTTTTCAAATCGTTGTCAGAAGTTTCCTTGCATGCTCTTTTCTTGAAGTTAGTGCAATTATATCTATTTATTGAAACATTATTACTATAAGCTTTGGCAGATTTATAAAAGCATGCTGAAAAAGTAATGCAAATTTTCCCTGCCCAGTTATAGGCCCTTTCTAAAATAAAGGCCTGCAAACTAGGCAAAAAATGTTTTATAGGTCAAATTCGAGAATTTTTATAAAAAGATCTACACTATGCAGAGAATCGAAATACAATGATCGTAGTGCAGTACACATATATATGCTAAACAAATGAGAGGTACATAGCTTAATATATTTCGTGTTTTTTCACCTCCAAATTCAAAAAAAAAAACAAAACAGCAGAGCAGGTATGTGTGGCACTCAACCTCTTCGTCATTATTGATTTACTGCGCTACGGAAAAAATTTTCCCAGCAAAACAAATTGCCAACAATATATAAAATCTTGGAATAAATTGAAGAGGTCTACCAGCCGCGCTTTGTTCGATCTTAGGGGGAATCACCCTTATATAAACTCTCCTGGCAGGTTTTTGCGTTCCCCGCCATGTTCCGCAACAAGTCCAAATTAATACATGTGCTTCTATGGAGTAATGGCGAGAATGGAAAAATTCGTTACTATAGGATTTTATTATATGGAGGTTCATATTAAACAGGTTTAACTGTACTTCAACGAAGTAAAACCCTCAACATGCAAATGCTTGCACTGTGAATATAGACAGCATAAGCTGCTGCCAACAGACCTAATGCATTTCATCTGCACAACCGTTATCACAATAAAGAACCGCGAAAGGATACATTTTGCTCCGCGATGTGTTGAGAGAAGGAAAGTCCGCCTGACTGAGGCCAAGCTTTCCAACCAGGTCACCGTTTCCTCTTCTGGTGCATTCTCCTCTTGGCTGCAAATGTGACAGGTACCATCAGACAAAATGAAAAACGCCACATATTACCCGCACTGTACTATCAGACCACTAATATCCTGTCACACGGCCACACCAAACTCCGTTGAACACCGTCAACGTAAATCTCCCCTAGGGGGTTCGAGGAGAAGGTATTGTGGCAGTGTCACACGGCAATGACAAGGTTGTAACAGTTGCCGCGAGGGGGCTCAGCTGGCGCTGTTTGATTTTCGGGAAAAGCATTCTAATTCATCTCTATTGATTTTTTTTTTGTGAATCCTCGTTATGCAGTTTTTACAAAAAGCACTATTTAGTAAGTATGCGAGTAACAAACCATTAAAATACTTTCAAATAAAATGCATTTGCTGCATGCAGCAATGCTCCTAGTGACGCTCGCATTCAAAGGCGAGACGTGCACCGGCGGCAAGCATGCAAAAGACAGAATATCAGTGGGGTTTTGCGTAAACATGACTGGAACCTACAAAACTCCAGCACACCTGCGCATTAGATATCACATCGGTATTCTCAGCATGCCATATCTCCAACATTTGTGGTTTAGGAGCAAAAATGTGATCAAAAGGGAGCCAATCAATGGATCATTATCAGTCTGCAAGCACTCATCGTAATTTTCTAACTTGGTACAAGCGACCACATCAATAGCGTGCTTACAGACTCGTGAAAGGCCGTTACACAAGAGACTCCAGAATTGTTTTCGCCATGTAGGCTTCACACTCCAACACGAGCCAGAGTGAGAAAGGGCGTTTGATGAACTTCCATCCATAGATCTAAAGACGCTGCCTGCGACGATTTCTATGCTGCCGGCGTTTCGATTTCAGCCGAATTATCTTTGAGGGTTTTGCCAACGCTGACAAAGACCTCGAACTCTGTCGAATTGCCCGATGACGAAATCAATCATCGAGTTACGGAGGATTTCGGCAACCCTGACACCGAGAACAAAGAGAGTGTCTACAAAGCCGACAAGCTTGAAGTTGAAGCGAGCGCTGATACAGTCGAATCCGGGCACAACGAAGTTCACTTTAACGCACTTTCCGCAAGAACGAAGTTTTTTTTCATTCCTCGTCGATGCCTCATAGGGTTCAGTGCTTTGAAATTGCTTCCAATACGAACGACTTCACAGCTGTGTTTCTACATTAACGAAGATTTAGGGGCAAGCTCCTTATGGCATGGGTCTGTCACTCGCCCCCCTCCATATGTTTGTATGTATGTATGTATGTATGTATGTATGTATGTATGTATGTATGTATGTATGTATGTATGCATGTATGTATGTATGTATGCATGTATGTATGCATGTATGTTTGTACAACGTAGCCACGGGTGGGAAATGGGAGATGTCAGTACTTGGATTGTTCACTAGATGATGCACGGACGAATGGTCAGACAAGCAGATGGACGCGTGGCTTGACGCGCGGACGGATGCATGGGTGGACACTTCGCCCCACTCATCATCAATCACTCCGTGGATATGATGCGATTTTTTTTTGCAGGAACAACCATGAGCAAAAATCATTCACATTATAGCTTTCTAAAATTTTTAAAAAGGGTTTTAGTGCCTTGACAAACTATCAAATAACATAGAAAGCACATGAAAAGCTGCTCGAAGCTGGCATACCAGGCGCGATTAGCCTTGTCGCGCAAACTGTAACAAAACAAGGCCATCATGCCGTGATATGATGGCAATGCAATGTGCTCTCGCAGTCATGTAGGTTCAAAGAAAACGGCATGAATCTTGTCTGCGTAAAAGCAACATGCATAATTTGATTTCGATAGTATTTCTAATTGTTTTTTACGAAGCTTATAGGAATGTCTTTATTGTCGAGAACTACCAATTAATGTGGGTACAAAACGGAATTGCGAGGCAAAACAAGGCAGGGTGCGGCGAGGCATTCGGGGTGACGGCTTCCAGCTTGACTAGGACTAGCTTCACATGTTCACAACACGCATGCATTGTTTCCCGAAGCTGCGGTAACAAGAACAATTATATTGCAGCCGGCAAAAAAGAGCGCGTGTTTGTCGCTTGAAGACAAGCCCGCATTATCGCAGACGCTGAAGTCGGCAAGAAGAAGGCTCTCACCGCTCAAGAGTTTGCGATTGCAACAAGCTCCCTCTCAACTATATTGAAGAGCAAGGAAGCTATTAACAGAGCTCAAGCTGCAGGGACGTCGGCCAAACCTAACAAGGTGACCCAGCCAGTGCACGAAGCGCTGAATAAGGCAGTCTACACCCGATTCGTGGAGACGCGGGCCAACACAATAGCCCTTAGCGGTGATATTGTGCGGCAGGAAGCGCTGGATATTGCTTTTTCTGCTCGGCATAGACAATTTCAAAGCCAGGGTGGCCTGGCTGAACCGATTCAAGCCCCGCCACAGTATCGTCGGCAAAAGGTTGTGTGGTGAAGCCGCTTCGGTGGATAACGATGGCGCTACCGCATGGATGTCGGCCAGCCTCGGAAGCCTCCTGAAAGACTATGCACCATCGGATATCTACAATGTCGACAAGACTGGTTTTCTACGAGATTCTTCCACAAAAGTTTCTGTATTTTAAGGGGCAGCGCAGTCAAGGAGAGAAACACAGCAAAAAAGAATAACTGTGCTACTTTGTGCTAATATGGTCGGCTCTGAAAAATGACCGCTGTTGGTCATCGTCGAAAGTGCAAAACCACGCTGCTACAAGGGAAATTTGAGCCTTCCAGTGTCAACAGCTGCGCGTGAATGACCGTGCAATTTTTGGAGACCGAGTCCAGGAATTCGACCGGGACACATCCAAACGAAAGGTCTGTCTGCTTTTGCCAATTGTTCCGCGCACGCTGTTGAGGAGGCGGAGCTTGGGAACGTAGAGCTCTAGTTTTTGCTACGGAACAGCACTTTTGTTATTCAAATGCTCGACTAAGGCGTCATCCAAAGCGTGAGGTGCGCCTATCGTAAGCACCTTATTCAAAGGCTACTTTTAAACACCCGGTTGGGTTGCAAAAATCTACATGTTTATAGCGCTTCAAATGATTGCCACTTCGTGGAGGGCGACAGCAAGTGCCATTGTCGTGAACTGCTTTCGCCATGCCGGATTCGATTTGTGGTGTGTCGAGACTTCAGATTCCGCAATAGACCCTCGTGATGATGACGGAGGTCACGATGAGAGTGAATTAATGGATGAAGAAGTCGCACTCACATGGGCAGACCTGCAAGAAAATGTGCCGGACAACGTCCATCTGAGCGAGTTCATGCAAGCGGACTCCTTGATGGTGCGGAGGAATTGATAGACGAAGGTATCATAAAGAGTGTACAGGAAGATGGTGTTTCGTCAGTCGAAGACGACGCATCTGCACAACGTACCGTATTTACTTGTGTATGAACACACCTTTTTTCAGCAATGTGACGCCAGGGGAGGGTTCATTACGCGGGAGAAAAAAGTCACGGGAGTCATAACAGCGAAATTTTAGGTGACGACTGCTTTTCTGACTCGTGAAATGCGTGGCAAATTTTTTTCGTAGCCCGAAGCTTGTTTTGTTTCGTCCCGTAATGAAAGTGCATGGATCGAACCGAAGTGTCGTCCAGCCGCTCGGTTCCAATGCTCCAGCGCATGCTGTTAATAACCATTCGTGGAGCTAGCATACCGGCCGAACGCGCCCTGTGCAGCAGGTGTCCCAACTAAGTTCTCAACAACAAAACGCAGTGTCAGATGGCGGCGCACAAACGTTGCATTAGACGTTTGCGGGTGCGCAAAGTGCCGTCAGCGTGGCTGGTGCAGTAGCGTTTTGCATAGGTCTCAGATGGCGAGCTTGCGCCGTGTTCCATGACGCAGCGCGAGCACCATTTTCGACACCACGTGCTTTGTTTTGTGCCGCTGTGTATGCGTGGCGTTATCAGCAAAAAGGTTCCTCATGCACTCAACGATGGCACTTTGCCATACAAGGCGAGACTTTCAAATCTCAATTGACATCGTTCCCGCTCGCGCTGCTCGCAACTGTTTAGCATGATTGCATAACTATCTTTGGCTTTCATTGCGGTGTTATTTAGTCATATAATGGGTTGATTTAGCGTTGTTTCGATCATTAACAGCACTGGCTATAATACCGAAATGAAATGAACAAATACAATGAAAAATTTTTTTACCTTTTTTCAAGGATCAAGGTGGGGGGGTGGGTTCATTACGCGAGTAAATACGGTAATCCACACTGCCTCTGATTTATTGATATGTGGGGTTTGACGTCCCAAAACCATCGTATGATTATGAGAGACGCCATAGTGAAGGGCTCCGGAAATTTCGACTATCTGGTGTTTTCTAACGTGCCACCCAAATCTGAGCAATGAGCATACATTTTCACCTCTATCGTAAATGCAACCACCACAGCCGGGTTTCGATCCCGCAAATTGCGGGTCAGCAGCCAAGTACTTTAGCCACTGGAACACTGCGACGGAGCGCGCTGCCTCTGACTTCACATGTGCTGGACGCATTCGACGTCATCAGACGTTGCATCGGGGTGCAGGATGACGACAAAGCTATGGCTCTGTTGGCAGCATGAGAAAATCGCGTTGTACTATCGCTTGGAAACAGGCAAAAACAGCAAAAGCTGGCCGATTTTTGGCATTAAACTTGCCTTTTTTTTTTTATGCATCAGTGAGTCGCGTGACTTGTATGTTTTTTTTTGCTTGAATTGCAACAACGAATTTTCACGACAAAGAATTTTTCCTGCCCCATCAATTTCATTGTCCCAGGATTCAACCGTAACCCTGTGATCAGTGTACCGCTAGCGACAACATGACGTTAGCTGAAATTGAGAGGAAGACATCATCCCGGGCAAGCGGAATGCCACGAGAAAAAAAAGAGACCTTTTTGCGCCAAAATGTAAACCGATGAGGCGGCACCGGCCACGCCTGCATTCTCTAATATAAATGGCTCTTTTGAGAGCCATATAAAACGATCCATTCGCTGAACTGCTGAGCTAAGATGCATGCTGTCTGCTTACCCGTCACTCTTAGCTTCTGAAGGCGGAGACTGTGATGCACCGTCTGTCTCGTCCATCTGTTCTTGGCTGGTGCACAGAGGCATGCTGAACGTAATCCCTGGAAAGACGGAAACAAAAGTCAGAACACAATTAAGAGAGAATGCAAGGCTCGGCTAACCTTTATTGAAAAATTAAACAAGAACTCGAGAATGCACATCCTGCTGAATGCTATTTAAGGCCCTGGTCTCCCCTTAAATACATTGCAAAATAGAGAGCCAAAGTAAACTTGAATCTCTTTTAATTAACCGAAAGTATGCGTTATCAGAGTTCGAATATCTATCGCGAGTCTACTGTAGCTTGCTTGGAGGCCCCAATGAGGAAGATAAGCCGCTAGAGAACAGCCACGCGAAATACCAACAGTGGCACAAATGCAGAAAAGCCTATTGCAAAACAGAGTGGAGTGCGCGGGCAGCGACCGCGACCTCATGATCTGCCTGAACAGACTAGAGCAGGCACTCTTCGCGCCCAGCCGAAGCACCTGACAAAGCTAGCTGACCGACTTTTGTGCGTGAATAAGGGCTTGTTTCACTCAGTACAACTTCTGAGAAGTTGTCATGGCTAATTTAGCTCTACTTGATGAGCTTTTATGAGGCAGCCACGTATATCAAATTACTGCTTATATCGACTTCATTGTGATGAGCAATTACTGCAGTCTACTCTCGTGACAATGGACTTTGATAATCTTGCAGACAAGTCCGTTCTATCCGAAGTACAGCAGGGGGAGGGGGGTTGCGTTGCCAAGGGACGACAGTTTCGATTTCACTCAGCAGTATGGGACAGGCTACTTCTGCCGATACATGCAGAATGTGTTCGACAGCATTGTTACTAAAGACTTCAATCACCAGCAGCGGTTATTAACAAAATTGCAGTGCATTGTAATTAATTAACTAGGTGCAGGGATGCTATGTGGCCCCTGCAAAGCTTAGCCTGATAATAAAGCATTTCTAGCAGGCTTTCTCTATTGATCGGCTTGGAATAAATTCATTTGTGTGGTTGGGAAGGCCTATCTGCTTTAATGGAGCCGCCTATGGGCCACATGGGAGCTGTTGCTCTGGCATGACCTCCACGGCTAGCTGAACAGTTCAAAGTTGGTTTCAGAATTCTCAACTGAGCAGCACCAAGGCACTTCTCACAGTAATAATAGTATTCTACCTTCACAGTGAACTAGCCTGCTTGGAGTACCATAATTTCTTACTTTTGAAACTGGTCACGATGCCTAACAATGTTACAGCAATGAATGACAAAAGCAAAACACACACACATAAAAAAGACCTTTTTTTACACTTAGCCCAAACAGAAATTTGTAATAAGAGACTGGCGAGCATATTGGGCGATAATGCGATCACATTGTGCCACATTTCGGTCAGTTGCAACACAAACTATTGGCATAACCAACGCAGTTTCAGACTGGTCTGGCTGGAGGATTGACTTATCCAAAAGCTACAAATGTTGCCGGCCACAACTTGAGGCTTCAGTGCACAGTGAGCAGCATGCTCATGTCTATTGTCATCCCACGCCAACATGGCAATTTATGCACCCTATTTCCGAAAAAAATGCCGCTCATTTTGTCTTCTGTAGCCAATAGCCAGTTGTATCGCAATCTTAAGATAACTTCACTGCATTAATTTAATACACAGACCAAACTTAGGTGGAATAATCGTCCATTATAACCGAAAGTCGTTGTACATGGGTCCGTTATAATGAGCATAGACTGTATAAAAAAAAAATCGCGGTGATCGCTGTATAGGAATCGGAACACGAAAGTGAAGTGTATCTGTACAGAGGTACAGAGGTGAGTGTTTATTGTGCATTGTTTAAGCAACAGCAACGAATTGTAAAGTCCCGTCAGGAACGGCAAGCTGCTCAAAACTTGCAGTGCACACCTCAGCAGAAAGCACGAATGAAATTAGCGCACACAGGACGAGCACGGACTAACAACTGTCACAATTCTTCCAGCGTCGTGTGTCAGCAGCGCGCTACTTTCATAAACAACCTTCGTCGTCTCCCGAATTACAAGTCTGATAAACGCGCATGCACAGGAGAAAGCCCGCTCCTAGGGACCGTGCAGGCAGAGCTTTGCAGAGGCGGCGACCTTGAGAGCACGACAAACTCGAGACCGTCGCATCATCTCGTCCCTAATAACGAAAATACGCTAAAGTTCGGAAGCTCTGAAGACTGCCAAACGGTGTGTATAGAAATGGCTTGCCGTTTGCACTCCAGACAACGAACGCTTTGTGGCATAGTGGTTAGCACGCGCGCTGAAAATAGAGAGGTTGCTGGTTTGATTCCACGTGACGGATATTTGCTTTCTAATTTTTTGTTTGCAATTTTTAGTATTTATCTCAACATCACCATGCGGAAGTACCGTATTTACTCGATTCTATCGCGCCCTCGATTGTAACGCGCACCCAATTTCCACCGCCAAAAAAAAAAAAAAAAAAAAACATAAGACATCGATTGCAACGCGCACCATTTTTCTCGCTGGCCGCCACGGTCACACCACTCGAAAAAACGACTCCTTTCGGGAGCGTCTTCCATTTAAATATGAGGTACGGGCGAAGCTTGTGCCCATCTGACGTGTAACAGAGCATTGCCGTCACTGTAGTTTTACCGTGGACCGATGTCAGCACACGAACTTGCTTCGCCCCCTTCTTCCGACGGTTGTGGTGCCAGGCATGTCGAAGTAAAGAGGCGTCTGATCGGCATTCCCGATTTGCCCAAGCAGGTAGTCGTTGTTGCGCCGCAAGTTTAAGACGAACCTCTGAAAACTGTGAAGCTTTTCATCGTACTCCTCCGCAAAACTTTCGCATATGCATGTTCCCTTCGGAGGGAAAAGCCTTTTCTCTCGTAAAGTTAGTTAGCCAGCACCTGCTCGCTTCAAACTGGCTCCGCATTAGACTTTTTCTAAGACTAATTGCATAGCCCGCACTTGGAGCAGTTCTGCCGTCACGGGCTGCTGTGCTGCTCGCTGCTAAAGCACATACTCGCCGAGCAGCTCTTTAATTTGCGGAACCGACCCTGCTGTGGTCCACTGAAGCCTTTGCGTAAAGCTTTGCTGTCGAAAATCTTCTGCTTTTGTTTCCGCCGGTCCCGCACGCACGTTTCGGGAACTCCGAACGACCGCGATGCGGCCCGATTCCGTCGTTTCTGCACACGCGATGACTTTTCTTGTAAAAGCGGCATCGTGGTGCACTCGAGTTTTTGGAGTCGGCCATTCCACGCCGTCGATGCTAATGCACTACTAGATGACGAACTCCTCAGCACACGTACGAAGTGCCGCACATGAGAAACATAGGCAGAAATGGACGATGCGCCATGCCGACGCACGTAGGGGGCGGCCATTTTAGATTTGCCGATGGCAATAGATTGGCCGTAATTTTTTGTTCGTACTCTTCTAACGCGCATGCGATTTATGAACTCGCTTAACCGGAAAAAAGGTGCGCGTTAGATTCAAGTAATTACGGTACATCAGCAGAGCCATGGTGGACCCTAACATGGAACACTTTCCAATTGAAAAACTTTAAGCCGCATGTCTCTTTACCATGCAGCTCATGCATTAGTAGTTCTATTTAGTATTGCCTTTCTCTTGTTCTGAATAGCAATTTCATGCAGTTTCAAAGGGCCCCAGAATTGTAATCAGGTGGCAAAGTGGGCGAGTTGGAGTATTCATGGTGACCAGTGCAGACAATACACAGGACTAGATGCAGCGACTGTGTCGTCTGCATTCCTCTAGCCCTATGTACTGTTTGTGCTGGCCATCAAAAGTACTCCACTAAATATCTGCATCATTTTCCTGCAGATAGATACCTTTGGTCACACTGCCCACTAAGTCTCTGCAGGCGTATGAATCAGCATATATACAGTAAAAGAAAGCTCTCAAATACGAATGTCTGGATATCTTTGCCAGTGAGAGAATTCTGCAGCATTCGAGGGCACATTCCTGCTAAGTCTTAAAAAGACCAGAAGAGCATTGTTTTAGTAATTTCAGAACACTTCCAATATCAGATATCCTGGTCCAGAGAAAGTTATTGCATTGGCACATTGAAAGCGCCTCCCATATCTTTCACTGGTGGATTCACAGCGGCTGCTCCACCAAATCAACTTCACAAAGCAGCACTCTACTTCATGGAAATCAGCAGAGTCAACCTGAACTGTCAGAATGGGTTGCACGCAGAATAGGGACGACTGTGTACCATGTAACCACGCTGTTCTAGCAGAGTTCAGCCTCTCCAAACCTACCATTACAATTCATCCCACATGACAATGCTTCACCAACCTTCGTCCGGAGTGCCTGCCTGAGGCCCCGTGTTGTAGGCGTCATCAAGGCATGCAAGCGGCCAGGCCGGCCACCCCGCAGCCCGAAACAACACTGTGAACGTGGGCGCGCAGACGTAGAAGTAGGGGCACTGGCGGGCGCGAAGCAGCTGGTACAGGGAGCGGAATCCCTGTGCCAGTCCCCTTGCAAGGCGGTCCGCGCAGGGCTGGCGGGGTCAGCAAACAGGAGGTCGCCTCCTTGGACTTCGACACGTTAGCCATCACCCCGTGTCGGGGAAACAGCCGCATCCAGGGCAGGTGCGGGTGCATCCACACAAGGCAGTTCTGGTGGAAGCGTGCCTGTGGACTGCTGTCTAGGCTCCCTCGCTGCACCAGAAACACTATATGGCAAACTTTTGTTGGAGGAAGAATGAGGCTCAACAAATTCACACAATACACCCTCATGATGAGGGCTTCAGTTTCTTAGTACTGTATACTCTACGCAGGTACATTTCATTCAAAACAAAACAAAACAACAAACAATTATCTTATCAAGAGAAGTGCATCCTACCATTCATTGATCCACCACAACAGATTCAATGTGTTAAAGGACACTGAAGTAAACTATTAAGTCGACGATTGTTGAAAGGCATTCCAGAAACCTCGTGTTACTTTGTGCTAAGGAAGGACATATTTGAATAAAATCACATTTGAGTGGTCCGCATCGGGTAGTTGCTTTAAATTACCCTGCCTCAAAGAAGGACCGACCCTGTCCATCTCACATCACTGTTGCCGTGCACAAAGTTGCCCGGCTTCACTGCGCTAGGAGCAACATACCGAAAGCAGTGAGGCCACAGCAGCAAAACGGCCATTGATAATTTCCCTGCATTGGCTCGAGATTGTAGAAGCTTTTTTTTCAACTGCATGCCGCTATGCACCACCCATCTCATGTAACCACGCGAAAATTTAATTTTCAAACCACTCACGCCATTTCCATAGTAACGTCGGTGGTTCTTTTTCCATGACTCAAACAGAAACGAATAAGCTGCATTTTATTGCCTCTCTTAATGTACCGAAAGTGCTTTTATTCAATGCGTTAGATCGATTAGACTAGTGATCAATTTGTAGGCAGTCCGTCTGAGTCATCGGGATCATTTTTGAACATGTCCTACTGCGCGCTTGTTTCTTGTGCACTTACCCTCAATTTCTCGGTAAGTAGGGTACTGTAGTGATAATATTGTCATTTTAGGTGCTGTCATACATTGAGCTTTCACTCTGACGTAAGTTGTTGATTTGACTTAATGTCTCTTTAATCTGCCAAACAACTACAGGAGCTGCATATGAACTGGGAACTTGTTTTGAACTGAGTATGATGTGTGTATACATAATATGTATACGAACGGAGATGTGTGTTGCAGAGAGGTGTACATACATTATAATTCTAACTCTAATACTCAAAACTTTCGGTTAATTTAAGCAAATCTTGAATTTCTGGTTGATCCACTATGTTTTCAATGTACAGTAAAAGCTCATTAATTCGAATCGAGGGAAACTATAAACTGGTTTGGATTAAGCAAAGTTCAAATAGTAGGCGGGTACTAAAACGCACAAACAATGTGCCACAATGCACATGCAGAACGCAAAGCCACTTCTGGGCTCGTATCACCAAATAGGCACTACTACACTTTGTGGCGGCGATTTGTTGATTAAATGGAGCTTGTAACAGCAAACAAAATTCATTCCCCAGTCAACAATACACCACAGACAAATCCAGCATTCATACAAGGGAGCAGGGCCTAAAAGCGAATTATACGACGCTATTTATGCTCCAAAATGCATTTATTACATGGTAGGGTTAATGCAATGAAATTAAAAGTATTTGGAGTCTCTCTGTGTTCTCTGAACCAGAACAAGGTTCATTCAACAACAACCATCCGTAATTTTTATTATTGCATTCTTCTGTCGCGACCCCATGAGCATCAATTGTAGCTTGCCAAGTGCTCCAGTGGAGCATCCGAAATATTATCCTAAGAAATGCTGCCCTTCGTTTTTTTGGCTCTTAATGAATTCAGTTTGGGTTTGCAACACTGTGATCCCTCTGGGCCAACTTGATTGAGATATGTGGGGTTTAACATCTCAAAACCACCATATGATTATGAGATACGCCATAGTGGAGGGCTCCGGAAATTTAACCACCCAGGGTTTTTAACGTACACCCAAATAAGCACACAGGCTACAACATTTCCGCCTCCATCGAAAATTCAGCCGCCGCAGCCGGGATACGAACCACGACCTGCGGGTCAGCAGCCGAGTACGAGCAGCCGAGACCCCCAGGCGGGGCACTCTCTGGGCCAACTTATGGTGGAGCAACGAAAAGCGGAGGCACCGAGTTCTAATTAACCGTCATGAAGAGCAAGCTGTTCAAATTATTGGGAGTCTGCCCCATATAGATACACAGGCTCTGACTGGACTAGGGCGGTCAGTTTGAAAATACAGTAAAAGTCGTTATCCGTGTATATTAAATGAGGGGGTAAACTGTGTATATTAAATGAGGTCAAATGTGATTAATTCGGAGGGAAGTAGCCACGCACGGTTATCTCGGACAACTCCGGAGAGGGCTCGGGACTCCAGAGTCTCGCGATCTTTGCGGCTTGGAGGCTCAAGCACGCTTGCCGTAACCGACGGAAGAACCGGAGTTTTGGAGAAACCAAAACGAGCGAACTGCAGCAGAATGTGAGGATGATGATAGGAATGAGGGGGAAGTGCTAGGTGGCGTAGTCATACCCGGCAAAAGCGCTCGGGCCACCGGCACATCTAGTGTCTACTAACAGCTGCTCGCTACGCCCTGCTATGATATTGTGTACTACTTCGTGTCTTGGTTCTGTGTGCGACTTCGCATGTTGCAGCTGTGTTTGTGGCGTCGGTTGTCGCCGCCGTCGCGCTTCATGGCGACAGTCACACAAGCGGCCACAGCAGCCACCAAATGTTCTTGAAACAAAGGTTATGATATTGAAAGACATGATGAGCCGACGGGAGTCGCCTGCACCGTGCAGGAGGCGGCCGAAGCCTCACTGTCCTCGAGGAGTTCTGCGTTTGTTCTCGCGACAGTGAACGTGCGCACACCAACTGATGCGATTAAATAGATAGTTCTGTCAGAAATTCTGACGGCGAGGCAGGCAAAAATTACGCTTTAAGAAATAAAGGTTTGTCTGTACCGTGTGCGTTTTCCTTCTGCTTTCATGGTCCGTTCGATAATTCGGAATTCGTTTAACCCGGACATTTTCTCCGGTCCCGTGAGATCCGAGTTAACAAGCTTTTACTGTAAATCAAGGTCAAATTTACAGAGCTCAAATTATCGAGCTTTTACTGTGCTTCAACATCACTTGATTCAAACATTGCACATTTCGGTTTACTGCTTATCTATGCATGAAAATATACGATGCCTCTGTTGTTTTTGAACAATCACATTTTATGCAACTTACAGTCACAAATAAAACCAATTGTCAGCCTACAAAAGTCAAATTTTCCGAACCACAAGCACTGACAATCGCAAACGAAGTGGGAATAACTACTGGAACTGTGGCCTTGGTCTTTAGCATGCCAACACTTATTAAAGTCACTTTCTCTGCCGTACACTAGTGTCATGGCAGGAAGCGTTCTAGCAATGAAAAAGGGCTAGCAGCTTTCGCAGGACGCAGCACATTTCACCCCCTAATTACACAGATTGCATAATAACGGGAACTAGTATAATCGCTGGCACCTGAAAACTTACTGGCAATCTCTAAGAACTACCTATGATGTCACTGTGGCCCTGAGAAACAAACATCACAACGCTAGATACTGACTGATAATTTTGAGAACTTCTAATAACTTTTGCAAATTCATACGAATCCTGAGGTCGCCTAAGGATTGAATTATTAATAGGCCACAGCAAACAAATATGTCACTTATGAGAAGCTAGTACTGCAGTGCACTCAATGTGCTATGTTTATGTTCACTGCCATTATGCCTTATAGACACTCTCGCATAGTCACACTGTGTGCTTACAGACGTACCTCTCAAGGTAGCCTTCAACAAAGTATTGTATTTACTTGAATAATTTTCATACATTTTTTTTTTAGATTTTTGGAGCTCTGAAAAGGGGGTTCACAAATTACACGGATTTCACAAATGCATCCAGTATGCGTGCAGTGTAGTATGCGTGCAGTATATACATTTAAAAAGTTGAAGCATGAACGGAGTGCACGTGTTTATTTAACAGAATTAGCATGTACTTCAACCAGCCAGATCCGATCATGCGCTGTTTAGTCGGAATCGCTGGTCGAGAAGTCTAATTGAGACTCACCGTCGCGGCCGCTGTCACCACCCTCCCAAACGTCCTCGGTTCCATTGAGCGCATTCAAATGCTCCAATTTCTTGAAGCTCTTCCCAAAATTGCTGAGAGAAACCGGGTCCCACATCACAACGATACCGTAGGATCCAAGCTTTCGCAATAATTGAAGAGGTCTTCCACGCAGCACGAAACTTGTATTGGCAAGCACAGCCTCTGCTGCTTTCTTGCGTACCAATCGGCTGCAGTGCTCGGCAGCGGCAGGTTTCTCTTTTTTCGAGAAATGTTATAACAGCAAGCTTGAATTTCGAAGCCCATTACTAGGAAACTGTAAGAACGCAGCGGATGGATGGCGAAATCTAAACTTCCGAAATCAACCAAGCTGCGTTGCAGCGCGGACGCACAGAACGAGGGGAGCAGTAGGCGCGACAGGCCCTCGCACTTCTCAGATGCAGAAAATTGCCCATGCTGTGATGCAAGCCGGCACTCCCACGGTGAAAGAGATGGAGAGATAAGGGGAGGCTAACTGTGAAGAGATGGAAAGATAGAGGGAGGCAAACGCTCGAGCAGTCAACAGGTTTGGGGAGAGAACAGTATTTTAGGGACCATATAGTCCGTGGGGAAGTCCTCGGAAGAAGGAACTTGGCACTCTCAGCCTGTTTTATGTATGACCGTGGTCGCCTACTCTGTACAACCTGTGCTCGGTGCATTCGTCCAAAGCTTCAGTAGACTTACTGCACGCGCCGGCGAGCTGGTTCGTGTAAGCGCAAGATACGAGAGTAAATATATTTTTTAATAAAGGCAAAAAATATTAGGGTGTGCAAAACTTTTGAGGGTGCAAATCATGCGAGTAAATACAGTAATATGTGGAAGTTGTAAACAAATCTTGTGAAATCTTGCATGATGATTCAGACTCGTCCCCTAGTCCTAGCAACAAACGCATAACTTACGGCATATGCCATATCGAGTCTCGTACAGCAATCTTCACAAATTGCACTGCATTTGTGTCAAACAGCTCAGCAAGGGAACGAAAGCCGGCTTCATTTCTGAAAAGAAG